AGCAGGAATAATGATAAGCTATTAGACAAGTCAACCCACAGGCATCAGCCTTCTCCTTGATGAGCAAATAACTGTTTTCTCCCGCAGGCATTTCCAGCTCATTGAAGGGAAGGTGACAGCCCAGAGCAGCGTGTCTGCCCCAGGGACCTGTGCTCAGGCAGGTCACAGCGTGCACACGTGGCAGTGGCACTAAACAAACCCTTCTCCCTGCACCAGGAGATGCTGATGCTCCTGCCCCAGTCTTGCACGGGGGAACCGCTGCTCCCCAGGGCCCTGAGCACAGCCCAGCTCTGGGGAGCAACGTCCCGAGGTCTCGGCCAACCTGAGCGGCTCCTTCATTTCCATCACAGACTGAAAGCCGTGCCTCTGCTCCCCCTCCCCAAAATGCTTTTTCTTTTCCAGCCAGAGCAGCCCCCACCAGTGTGGGCTGCACCCACACAGCAGGACAGATGCATGGGACAAGGATGCACGGGATGTTCCACCTGAAGGGAACATTTCCAACGACCCCTCCCAGTTACCAAGGTAAAAACACAAATCAAAACATCTTTAACATCCATCAAAACACAACCTGTGCTCACGAGGATGCTGCTCTCCACTGACTCACTGCAGTCAGTGTCCCGACAGCACAGCAACATGCCTCGGTCCTGGGAAACGCACTGATCTAACTCCCTGGCCTCTGTTCCGATGGGGAATTGTACAGGGCAGGCTATAGACTGTAAACAAGGACTTGGGCCAGCACAAACCTCTGCCTACAGACTGGTCAGAGGCTTGAGGGATCAAGGTCTTAATACAGAAGAAGTAGGTTTTAACCTGAGATAGCTGTAATTATATTTCAAACACTGAACAAAGCATAAAGCCTCACTATCATATTTAAGATCACATTAACCTTATTTCTGGACACTAAGACATCACAGAAATAATTCCAGGTCTTTTAAGCATTTTAAAATATTTTTTTTTTTTTACTGTCCTATGAAAAATGTTAAATTAGGAAGAAATTATTCACTGTGAGGGTGGTCAGACACTGGAACAGGTTGGCCAGAGAAGCTGTGGCTGGTCCCTCCTGGGA